TGAAGTTCGGGGCAGTATTTGACATGCTCCCGAAAAGCCTAGAGACGTTCCATTGATCGGTTCATAACTGCTTGAAAAGATTAGTGCATACACTAGGTATCTATGGCATAATACATACATTATTTGGGCCAGAGCGGCGCTGCTTCCAGCTAGCCTGCGACTGCCGGCGTAACGTGTATCCGGCTTTGTCGATTTACAATATTCTTCAGCTAACTCTCCATAGAATGTCAGCTCAATTCACCTGGTCATGACTAGCTGTATGGTAATCAAAATAAAGAACTAGCTGGGTGTGTAATCACTAAGAATCAAAAGCAAGAATGTACATCAGATCGCAGTATATGAATGTAAGGTAGCTCAACTACTGAAAGTGTAACTGAAATGACCTTGTGTGAATGCGCCGGTGCAAGGAAAGGACTGCAAAATTTGAATATCAATAAAGCGAAATACTGTGACTTGTATATGGTGCCGAACGACTACTAGTCAGGTGTGCGAGACGGCGCACTGGAGAGTCGAGAAGATGCAACAGAGTTGGCCTGCAGCACAGGAGTATCCGGAGTATTGGCAGCAATTTTGTCCATACATATTCCCTATTTGTTTCGGAATCTGGGGTCAAAACTAATTGTGGACCTTTTCAGGCCTTGATCATGAATTTTGATGTAGACCATATTGTATTCCAAACTAAGAATTTATCCCTCAATTTGAATGGAATCTGTCACAGACTTTTATTCCGCCGTGTTTCAGGTGTCACTGCCTGTTCGGTGATCGCTACGTCACGTGATTCTCCTGACAATGCACAGTCGCTGAGTCAGCTTATCATGTTGAGAGTACTATTTTTGGCTGCGCTCGGATTTTCAAATAACTTTAATAAGTCGAATTGTCCTTGTACGGTACTAGTGCAGGGCCTGCGCAGTACTATCAGTCAAATGGCAAGCAAACAGGTAATATTTTCATAGTACGAGTTAAGACGGGAGGTTGACCATCATTATCACAAATCAAATGGTTTCTAACTCCTTGACTCATTTAGTCTAGGCTAGTGTCAATCTCACTCAAAGTCCGTTATCTTTTGAATCCATATGGACCATGCGAGAGAGACAGTACTTACCATCAACGTTGCTTGCGCCTTCACAACTACGGGCTTGTATCGTGTGCCTTCTTTCAAGAATAGTTGGACTTATCCTTCTTTCGGTTCTCTCTCGGCCCACTGGCCCGTTGCTCACTAGGTTTGTTGAGTTTAGGGCATATTTACGTATCGATAAATATCACCCATTCTACCTTGGTCTACCTAGGTGCCTCGTACCCTCTCTTTAATCATGGCCACCACCAGTGTCACTGACGAGAAATCCTTCCACGTGGAGGAGAAACCTCACTACGTCAAGGGGGATATTGAGACCTCTACCGGAGAAGACACAGACGAGATTGTTGTCCTTCAGAACGAGCGAGATATTGCAACGCACGTCATTTCCGTGGACGACGATCCTAATCTGAACCCTTGGACCTTTCGAGCTTTCTTCATCGGCCTTGGCCTTTCCGCCTTTGGTGGTTCCCTGGGTAAAGCAGTCGAGATCATTCAATCGAGGCTTTTACTCACTTGTACTGCTTCCTAGCCCAGATTTATTACTTTAAACCTGTGAGAGTTTCTTGATCAAACATCAATTCGGAGGCCTCATTCGAGTTGACACTCTAGCAAACTGTCCTTGTATCTCTGATGTTCCTCGGCATCATATCCTATGTGATTGGCCTTGCGATGGAAACATTCATTCCCCGCCGTGGATTGCTCCGATACCTGAATCCAGTGCGTCCGAGTCTTCCACGTAGCCCCTGACCCTGGAGTTCATGCGTATTAGGGGCCCTTCAATAAGAAGGAGAATGCGTTCGTTATCATCATGGCCAGTGCAGCCGCGAACTCTGCATTAGCTACGGAAGTCCTCGCTGTCCAACGGTGGGCTCTCAATCCAATTCTTCTGTCGGTGATGACTGACGACTCATCAGTTTGTATTATAACATCGTACCGAACACTGGCTCATCAATCATTTTGTTGTTCTCTTCTCAACTCCTCGGGTGCGTTGATGTACTCCTTACTCCACCTATCGCTGAAGCTGCGAACCACAGTTATGGGATAGGCGGTCTGATGCGAGGTATTTTTGCATCCGGCAGTAGCTATACTTGGAATCTCAACTCACGACACTGACTCAGGGATCCTCCTCTATCCATCAAAGATGTTGTACCCCGTCGTTCTCCCGTTGCTCTCCATGCTCGACGCTTTCTATCACGATGTCATCAAAGCACGTCGAAAGCTCAAGGTCTTCTATCTTGTCTTTACTGCGCATGTTTAAACTTCATAATGTGATATTCAATTTCTAATCATCTTGACTTCAGAATCTTTATATGGGAGATTTTTCCCGAATGGATATTCCCATTGCTTACCGGTCTCTCGATATTTTGCCTCGCCGTTCCTAACAATGCTAATGTCTCTCGTGTGTTTGGTGGTTCCAATGGAAACGAGGGCCTCGGTTTATTGTCCCTGTGCTTTGATTGGCAGGTAGTGCTCGCCATCTCTATTTGGGTTACACTTGCGTTGAACTCAATTTGTTTAGTACATCTCGGCTGCTTTGAACCCGATGTCTATCCCGCTGAAAGCTCAGGTTAGTTGGCACACCAGTGCGTACGACGTTTCTAACGTCTACCCTAGCTCTCCAGCTTCATTGGTTATCTTCTCTGCATGTATGTAATTTCAGTCACATCCCAAAATATTACTGAGGGAGGTGAAGAATTGTCTTCGTCGCCGTATTCTACAACAATATTTGGAAATCTCAGAACTTCCCGTTTGTACGTAATATTCTTTCATTGCGCTTTCCAATATCCAGGCTAATGATACATCGATCAGTTGGCGCAGCTCCTCTTTTACGAGAACGGGACTGTCTACAACCAGACTTTGATTATGGATTCCAACTATGAGGTGGATCCTGCCTTAGTGGCAGCACAGGGGCTGCCATTCTACGCCGGCACCTGGGTTGTTAACCTGCTGACAACCAATCTTGTATGCGATGAATGACTGCTGGTGTAAAATGCTTTGCTCATAGTTCCAACAGTCATTGGGTGCAACGATCACTCACTTACTCCTGTGGAACAAAGATGACCTTCGTGCAGCCTGGACTTGGATCAACATGGACACATTGGGGAGTTGGCGTGCTAATTTCGATTGGAAGTTCTGGAAACACAGTGGAAAAAGGGAAGTTCCTGCTAACACTGGAGACCTCGACCCGCATTACCGGGAGATGCTGAAGGTTAGTCCTTCTGACATGAGATAGAGACCTTCCTATTAACATATTACTATACAGTATCCAGATGCTCCGAATAGTTGGTACTTCTTGACATTCGTTCTCTCCTTCATTCTTGGATTGGTCGTCATATACAAGACAGATTCCACGCTTCCCTGGTGAGCAACATTTTCACTCTCCATCTGACGAAATTTTATATCATGTCCTTTAAGGTGGGGCTTTATTATCGCAGTACTCTTGGCCGTTGTGTCTATCTTGTTCTTCACCGCGTTGTACGCTATCACCGGCATTTCGCTTTCCATCCGCGAGTATTGTTTTTGCTCTATAGATGCCCCGAGTTGATCTTTTAGTGAAGAAACCCTAGTCCAGATGATTGCTGGCTACCTACAGAACGGAAAACCCATGGCGAATATGTTCTTTGTCCGTTTTGCCATCATTTCCCGTCTTTGACCACCACTGATGTTGATATTCACAGGTTCTTTACAGTTATGTACGCATCTTCATTCTCGCCTCCTCGATCTTTTGATTTGTTTTCTCCCTAGAATGCCGTGTCTCAAGCAATGCTGCTACTACGCGATCTGAAGATCGCTCAATGTATGTGTGCGTTATTTGTCGGGAAAGGTGTTTCTCACTGGCGGATTCCTAGACGCCAAACTGCCTCCCCGCGCTGCATTCACAGCCCAGATCATTGGCACCTTACTCGGCGCTGGTCTCAACTATGGTTAGGGAGCCATCTTGCCTATTCATTCTCCATATTTGACTTGTTTTTAGAATTGATGGATTCTATCATCGACAATCAACGCGAAATCCTGTTGTCTGTACAAGGAACAAATATCTGGTCTGGCCAGCAACCTCAAGCATACAACTCGCAAGCCATTGCGTGGGGTGGCCTTGCTCATGAACTCTTTTCGTCTGGTCAAAGATACCAGTGGGTTCCTTTATCCTATGTCATTGGCCTGGTCGTGCCTCTTCCTTTCTGGATCATTCACCGTTACTGGCCAAAACTGCGCATGGATTACTATTACACCCCTATCATCTGGTACGCTCTCAATTCAACAATGATCGATATTCTAAGTTCATTATGTGTACAGTGCATACATCGGATGCCTTTCTGTTGGAATAAACTCCTCGGCTTTGTCGTATTTCACGATCGCGTTCTTGTCGCAGTGGTGGCTCCGTACTAGGTACCCGCGTTGGTTCAAGGAATACAACTATCTGGTCGGTGCAGGTAAGCTCTGTGGCCTTTCTATCTCGATCACTAACATAACGCTATACTATAGCCCTTGATGGTGGCACGCAAGTCATGATATTCATTCTCTCCTTTGCGGTCCAAGGGGCTGCTGGCACATCACACCTTTTCCCGGAATGGTGGGGTGCAGACCAAAACGGAAACTACGACCACTGCTTGTATCTCTAAATACCACTCTTAGTCTATTACATCAGGTTGATGTGTTTTTGCAATCAAAGAATACGGGGCAATCGGGCGTCAGCCAAGATACGTCAGCATGACATGTTCTTTGACATCTTTCCGTTGAGTCCCAACTAGGAGTCGGGATACTCGGCTACCACAGGTTTTGTACTACCCATCACGGCGTAATTCAAGAAAAGAATCTATGTAGTGCCATTTTAGTTGTTTCTTGCACTGGATAATCTCTTGAACAGGCTGAACTTTGTTGAGTGAAGAATCACACACAAGTTACATCATTTGATATCATCAGGAAACTATCTTCGCAAAACATCTTCTAGCACAACACGTGCATTTTGTGCATCGGCACGTCCGCGGCTGAGCTGCATGACTTTACCCACCAGCTTGTTGAGAACTCGAGGATTACCTTGGCGCACAGCTTCCGCCTCTTCAGGAAGTGCTCCGATGGCTTCGGCACACCATGCTCGAGTGGAGGCGTTATCATCTTCTGATATAGCCTCAAGAGAAAGTTCCCGTGCGAGTACAGAGGGAGCTGACGAAGAACGATTGGCAATGATATGCTTCAATAACGATTTTCCCGAAGTCCCTGGTAGTGACAATTGATGGATATAACGTTGGACAAAAAAGAAGGCTTACCAGTAATTTTGCCATCCTGCACCAGGTCGATAAGTTCACCTAGTTGCTCGACAGATACGGGATTGTCGCTGAAGGTTTCTTTCCGAGCAGTCAACTGCCCAATGAGCTCGTGCGTCATCCTGGGTGTAAATACTTATGTATAAAGCTTCTATAGCGAGGAGGAAACCAAACAAACCAATTGACAACGACTCTCGGGTCCCTCTGTTGCGCGAGGGAGTCAAAGTAAGTCACAGCGCCTTTTCCGAGTTCGCCATCAAATCCAACCTCGTGACCCGAGTCGACGGCCATGAGTACATCTGTATCACGCTCAGATAACCCAAGATTCCGCAAACGGACACGGGTTGTATCAGGGAGGTCCGGCATGGTCTTGCGGATGGTCTCGATATACTCCTATATGGAGTTTCAGATGACATGAGCAGGATTACAAGCAGGTTGTTACCTCAGATAACAGCAATGGAGGGATATTCGGGTCCGGCATGTATCTATAATCAGGAGAATCCGCCTTGCTTCTGAGCTTCAAAGTTTCGGCCTTATTTTCATCAAATCCTCTGGTGTCCTGCGGCACAGAGCAGCCACTTTCGAGCAGCTCGATATGACGAAAGACCTCTGAAGCTGTTCGAACATTAGGAGAGATTCGAAATGGCTACGCAGACAGTCTACTAACTGATCGCTACAGTCATGAACTTCACGCTGTTGAGGTTTTTGATCTCGCAGCGAGTGCCATGCGGCTGTCCGTGTTTGTTGATAGAAACATTCACATCGCAGCGAAAAGACCCCTGCAATAAATTGAATGAACAGTGAATCACATTTAAAGATGCCCCACTTGTTCCATGTTGCCATCACTAGAGCCAACACAGCGAAGAACGGCCTGCAATGTCCGAACATAATCTGCGGCCTCTTCGGGGGACCTACATAATTGGACTAAGTCGTCACATGAGTGATGTGAATCAAAGTAACTCACCGCATATGAGGCTCTGAAACTATTTCCATCAGCCCTGAGCCAGCTCGATTTAGGTCAATGAGTGAAGTGCGTCTAAGCCCATCAAACGTGGACTTTGCCGTATCCTGTGTACATTTCGGCTTCGGTTCATACACAAAACTCTATCGGTCTTACCTGCTCAAGCTGGATTTGCTGGATTCCCACTGAAACATCGCCTTTGGAGAGCTTTAGATAACCACCCGAGGCCAGCGGAGCTTGTGGAAAGATCAGATTGTCGGCGTTCATACTCTACGAGATTGTGAGTTGAACTTACAGTAACGCTGAGTTATTTGATATCCTGCCGGGAGGTCAGAGTAAAAGTAGTGTTTCCTATCGAACGCCGATTGGTGATGGACTTTCGAGTTTAGTGCTAACGCCGTTCTAACCGCTAACTCCACGCATTTTGGGTTCAATGTCTAAAACGTGAGGTCAGCTTGCACGCCAAGAGAGAACGGGTGAGGTAGGCTAACCGGTAGTGTTCCAGGGAATGCGGAATCGAATGTGGACACAGTTGTATTGGGTATCTCACCTGGACGAGATGTGGATGACTCTATGCATGTTAAATTATGCGAGAACGCGATCGTTAGATTGGCAGAGACGCACCTGAGAAAAGCTTGCGGCGAGACTTGATCTGGGCATGCACCTCGATACCTATAATTACTTGCCAGCCGGGCCAGCGCTTGTCGTGGATTGCCTCGCGTGTATGAATTTGTCGTGGACACCAGAGCTGGTGCAGCTGTATAGAGCGCCATGGACAACGTCGAACAAGCATTAAAATTACGACTTTCCTTTCTAAGAAAACTTCTGGCAACTTGTGCTCTTCAATCACATCAGCAGTTCATCATCATATCATCATATCAGTTGCGACTTGAACCAAATATACCGCGTTTAACAAGGCTGTTCAAACCTGTGCGTAGCTGATCCTCTCTTAGATAGCAGCTTGCTGATTCTGGAGCGCTGATATCCTCATCCTAGTCACCGCCAAGGGCCGTTCTAACCTACTTCCCCTCATCTTACATACTACGGATCTATCATTGCATCACGGTTGCGCTATGCCCGAAAATATTCATTCAAACCTCTGGTCGGTGATACGACAAGATAGCATCAGCACTACTGTCCGAGGGGATGAATCAGATGAAGAGGCTTTCCTCCCAGTTTACGAACCCCCTCAGAGTGTGGGAAGCAAAGTGTAACATTGTGCCTCCAGATGGCTTCTTTCATCGCTAATTATTCTGCTCCGCTGCTTATCCTTCGTGGCGTTGTTTATCTATGCGGTGTCGATCATTAACAGTAGATATCGGGGACCGCCTCTCGCACTGGCCAGATCAAGTACTTCAAAGTGCGTGCGTATTATATGTCTTTCTAATTTTGTAGCTGCTAATAGAGTCCTCAGTCCCTCAGAGTCATTTTTGCAGATGGACACACAAGAGACGGTGGTATATACGTACAACTTACAAGCTGGGTTTGCTCCCTTGCAATTCTCCGTGCTGTACGTCGTCTTGTCACATTCCCCGTCGTCATGATTTACCTGAAATGGGAAGCGTTGAACCTGAAGCAGATCAACCAAATCACTACACCCTGTCCCTTTCAATGAAAGCTGGTCATGTTGAAAGAGCGCTCTGTGCTCCAGTCACCCTGAGACTATCAATAGACCCCCGGCAGCTGGATTTCTCTGTGTTGTAAGTCACAACATGCCAAATTCAATAGGAAAGCTCACTCCTTGCCAGCATCTTTCCTCCACGAACGAGTTTACCAGCTGGCTGTCTGTACAACCTGCGCGTTTGGCTCCAGACTGCAGGCATCGACCACCGAATATTTAGCGATAACGATCTTTGGGTTGGGAGAGACCCCGACTTTCGATCTGTCGGAGACGCTACATTTGCTGTACTGCGGAATGCAACACAAGACATGCTGATATACCAGGGTATCGTAGGTCGTGCACACGTTAGCTTCATAATACGGTTCGTACCTTCTCCGCAACATAAGACTTAAGTTCAACACGAATTACGTAGGTGGAAACTCGTAGAAGTCGGCCTATACAGTCTCTCCCTAGAGTACGAAGCCGGAGGCGCCGGACGAACACTCTTCGATGACTGCTACATGAGACTAGAGTGCGAACCCCAAATCGTCACATTCCTGATCTAGTACGTCCCCCTTGCACAACGTCCATTTATAGCCTCACCGATGTCCCTCAGCGTCATACCTGTAACTTCAACACCCGCCGGTGCATCTCACCGCCTCCGCTTCTGGCTCCGCACACCCTTTGTATCGCAATCCCCCGCTTCTTCCACAAACTCCCAGTCCGAATCCTACATCTACCAGCGCATATGGAAGTCAGACGATTTCAAGATAGGTGCTAATCTCAACTTCGAAGCACTAGGATCAAAACTCGTGATGGGCGTCCGCGATCCAGATTCACCACGAATAGAGCGCGATCTTCCATGTTTGGACCCTAGTCGACGCCGGAACTCACGGACACCTACGAATGCAATCGCTAGTTCGTCGAGAAATTCCATGTTCCGTATTCGTTGATCCCGGGACTTCACTTATATTATGAACTTGACGTATGCTTCTCATCTCACGACGTTTCGGTCGTTCATATTTATTTCATTTACTGTATCCACTCACATCCCACGTTTAACATCGAAGAAAATTTATAGTTCATGCGTAAGTTACGATACAAAATTGTGTTGTCTGGTTTTTAAAATGCTGAAATACGAAGGGAAAATATCGAAGTTGCCAAACTTGAGTGCGAAGGCGAAGAGACTAAAGTGAAAAGTAGCGCGAATGCTGGGAGTGGACATGCGACAATAAAAGCCAACGGACATAAGTGTAGCACTCATCCCACTGTATTGCACTGTTGAGGTCTGAAGGTTTGCCCAATGTATCTCGCCTTGTGCTTCAGTCCCTGTAGAAAAATGGATAAATAAACCAAACACCTGCAGGACGGTCATGCCAATGAAAACTGGGCTGTTGTGCCATGACAGCTGGTCTATGGCCCCCGGAACGAGCAAGCTGGAGCAGAGCTAGAGCTTGGTGGAATTGTTCAAGGGACCAGCACCGTTGCGAGAAGACCTTCTTTCTATTTCGCTCCCGTGGCGACAACAGCGTTTTCACCAAGAGGAAGCTGAGGGGACTTGATTTCGCTGACGGCCCGGTTGATAGGAGCATATAGGCCATTGGTTTCGCCATGTAGCATTGCGCTTGAGAATGACAAGCCTGGAATACCATTCTCGTTATCTTGTGTTGTCTCCGATCTGCTAAGCGCGCAGCCACGCGAGATCAATGGTAAAAACATGTGAAAGAGTGTGTACCAACCGTCTCTTCTTGTTGGGCATATCAGGCGAGGTATTGCTTGACTTGCCCGATCCCTTCACATACATCGCGATGCAGGTCAGTCATGCTCAAGGGAACTACCAAAACCACCCACTTTGCCTGTTTTGGGGCGTTTCAGGGCCTGTTTGGGTTGTCGCTCGCCTTCGTCGAACACGTAGTCGGGAAGAGCAGAACTAGTGAAATGAATGAGATCGGAAGGGATGACTTGCCGCATCAAATTGCACGACCTTTTGATGTTCCGCACCACAATACCCATCGTATCCTCATCGTACTTCTCCCACATCTTGACGAGTTTGGTAAACTCAGTGGTCGGATATGATATATCGAGCCTCCGCGGGCCCACAGCGCCAACTTGAAAACAGAAAATATGATGAGCCGCAGACATTCCGCAGGGAAACCATGTGAGAATCGAGGACGCACGAGGCTTTGGTTCGATCAAAAGTCCAATGTAGAAGGTCGTCGAATGGACTGTACTCGCACCGTCGAGGCCTTCGATGTCAGCTTTTGTTCGCTTGGCGATGAGATCTGAGATCTGTCCTTGTGCAACCTGTCTCACTTCCTCTTCGGTAATACAATGTGAAACTTGATCAAAGCCTTTGATGAATGGATGCGCGAGAATCAGTGAATCGACGTATTCAAGCTTCATGACCAGCTGCCGTATCCGAGACTCGACAGTTCCTGCCCTGGACGTGACTTGCAGACTTGCCGAACGTACATCGGGAGGAACTCTTACCATTTGATCTGCAGGTCTGCAGTGCCAGTCGATGCGATAACTTGAAGGTAATATCGATACTTGTGGAAGAAGTCGTGTTTCTGGAAAAGTTCTGACCAACTTGCTGTCCCGACAATAACCTTGTCCACAATATCTGCTCCTATACAACCTTGAGAATACCACAAAAGACAGAATTAGCAGGATGACACTCACCTTTCTTGAACTCTTCGGTGACAATCATCTGTGTCGATGCTGTTACATTGTGAGTTGAGCACATTGCGGGATATGCGGGTGTGATGATAGGCATCCTATGCGATCTATCTGCAGGATAAAGCTGTGGAAAGCAAATGAAAAAGTGTCTTATTTTCTAAAATAAGCAAAACACACTTTTGGATTCCAAACGCGAACTTGTAATGGTCCTTCTTCTATTTGTTTCAGCAGCACCGGTTGGGGCCACGACCTGGATATCAATAGCATACACGCACTGAAAACACTTCGATGAACAGGCGCACCATTGGTACATGATAATGAAAAATCGGCTAACGATCGCCCCCGCGGTAGCATTGGGATATAACTGACATATTCGGGCGACAAGGATTGCCCATGCGACACCGCCCAAAAACCCGTTTACATTCGAGTAGATGGCCCTCCCTGAACGCGGTGCATCAGTAAGGCACCCCACCCGAAGTTGCCCAGTAGAATAACTCACGTTGGGCCCAGAGCTTGATGCATCGAAGCGAGTCTCGATAGACCTCAACATTAGGTACCAGACGCAGAGCTTCATCATTCACCCGTGAACCTATGCGCATATGAATACGAGTGAACAATACGGAAAGTAAGATTTACCTCCAAGACTTCGCACACATCGCTCGTCTAGATTTCGTAAAAGGTTATCATCCTTCAAAGACAGATCATCTGGTATAGATGATAGCGCCAGACGAGCCATCAGGAGATCTAATGGTATTCCCGAGATTTTGGCCTTGATAATCGGAACGTACGCTTCCGGCACACCCTAATCGCATCGTCGTCATCATCGGTCCATGTCGCAGAAACCAGTACTGTCAGATCAAACTCACCGATACTTCCGAAGCACCCTCTAGTTCTTTAAGCATCGGCTCGAACTTTTCAAAAAAGTCTTCGCGAGATACATGTTTAGGAACAACGCAAAGAGTATCAATATCGGACCCAGGTCCATGAACGCCGAGACGGTATGAACCAAAGGTAAATATTTTTCCCCCAGCAGCGTTCGCTGCTGCTTCCGAAAGTCCACGAGACAGGGACACCTCATACACAAATTTTTTGACGACGGCAGCTACACGTCCGAGCACGGTTTCCCTGCGAAAATCGAAAGCGACCTCAGCATCGCCTGCCTCTCCAGAGGATGCACTTGGAAAGGCCAGACACGAAGAACAACCCGAGAACCATGAAATGCGCATCCAATAATCTTCAACGATAGCGCAGCACCCATGAGGTTCTCGGAGAGCCGTCCGTGCATCGACATCCAATGAAAGTAAAAAAGTATTGATCCTACCTGAGCCGGGCCTCCTCTACACTCTCAAAAGTATTCTGTCTTCTCAGCTCCTCCATCAAGGTCGCTGTGACCTCCTTTTCCCTCTCGGTCGATTCGGCCGTCGAGATTGGTGGTGTGACTCCAAGAAACCTAGAACGACTATCAGCTCAATGATTAGACAGATAAAGCTTGTATTTACCCTTTCTCTGTGGTC